TCATTGCCACTAAATTTGATTGAAGATGTAGGTCAAAAATCATGAGCTTATATCTTAGAAACATACAAAAGTAAGTACAATTAAACTTCTGATTACAAGGCTCTATAAATTTAGCATGTTACATTTTTGTGTAAGTTGGACCAATGGCTTCGGTGGAATTTTAAAAAGTTGATTTTTTAGAACAGTTTTAAAATGTAGAAAAAGTATTTTTTATTTTTTTTAAAGTTATATATATATACACACACACACACACACACATATATATGTGCGTGTGTCTGTTACACTTAATGTTGTCCTGGGTAAATATATAAAAAGAGAACAAATATAATTCTATTTTGTATTTAAATTTAATATTTTTAATACTATTATACATTCCATAATGTTTTTATGCATTTATATTGATTCCAAAATGATAACTAAAGAAAGTAACAATTTGAACAATATTCGTATGTTTGTAACATCGATTATTTTCTCATCCAATTTTTTGAGGAGACACTGCCTCCCTTGCCTCCTCGGAGGAAACGCCCCTGCCACAGACTTTCCACAACTTTTTAAAGGTCTTTAAGGCATCAGATTGCATTGACTATTTCTCATGTTACTCCCTACTTAAGATAAATTGTTGTAAATGCAATGTTCTTTGTAATGGAATCAGCCAAATAAAGTCAGTTGGGAACCTTAATTTACTAGTTGTACAGTAACTTACTGTTTTGTGAATGTCTCCCCTGATCAGGCGTTTCTCCATCTGCTGAAACAAACACCAATAATAATTTCTTGCATGTGGATTTATATGAACAAAAACATGCAGAGATTCAGTATCTTACCAATGTTCGGCCGATTAGCGTCCCCAGCGTTTCCAATAACTACATCTTAACAATAAACACATGAAGTCCTTTGTCATAACTTTATTGTTAAAGTTCTTTGTAAAGTTGTTGCCTCAGTGGACAGAATAAAGCCACATTAAACATATAAACACAAGAGTCAGTCTCTCACCATTAGTTAGCCTAATATTTTCTTCTCCATCAGGTTGGCCTGTATAAAAAATAATCACTTATTTAAAAAAATGAAGTAGAAATGTAATCTTTCTTACAAAGATCTTGTACAATATAGCTTTTTTTGGTGTCAAATTTAGCTCTGATGACCTGCTTTTTTCGACCTCCTGTGGTGATAGTAATAGAAAATACCACACAAAACTGCAGCCACAGCCAGAACACTAAAGCAAGCCAGCGCTATATGACTTGCGGACAAACCTGGTGCTATAATGGAAAGAGACAGTATCATTACACTAAATAAATCACTAAGATTGTTGTTAACATACTGTACATGAACATATCAGCGCTGCTGTACCTGAACATGTGTGACAGAGTTGAGTGATGTCCAGATGTGTGGTCTGGTTGCTGATGGGATTGTTGAGGACACAGCTGTAGCTGTTTTTATCCTGATATTCCACCTCCAGAGGTAGAGAGAGACTGATGCTGAGATCAGACACACTGATGCTGGACAATAAACTGTTTCCTTTATACCAGGAGAGAGTCACATGACTCACATTCACCACTGAACACACCAGCACACATCTGGATGCTGATGATCCTGATGGTGAAGAACACTGAGAAGAGTTTCTGCTGATGACAGGAACAGGCAGATGAGCTGGAAAACATGAGAGAATATAATACATTTTAATGTCACACTAAAACACCCTGATGCAGTTGGATATGTTCACAACATCTTTCTGGTCTCCACAAATGACATGGGCTGTGATGCATGTCACATTTCACCCTTTACAACATAAATCGTACATTTGCTTGCCTTTGTATCCAAGAGGCTTCTAGAATAACTGAAGAATGGGTTCAGAGGAAAAGTTACTTTGACTGTTATGTTCAATACTGCAATGAAATCAAATTGGCATGCAACTAGAAAATGACTCACCAGAAACAATAATACTGAATTTTTTGGGTGTGACCTCTTTTCCATCAATGATCTGCAAAAATCCATAGGGTCCAGCATGTTCAGTTGTGGTGTTTGTGATGGTCAGAGATCCAGTCTGAATATCCAGCTTCAATCTGTCTCTGAATCTCCCATCAAGAACATCATCATATATAGAGATCTTATTAACCAATCTGTTGATCTGAGCTATACGTGTGCTTTCAGATCCAAACGTCCACAGTATCAGATCAGCTTTCTGTATTTCAGTAAGATCAGTATATAAAGTGACAGAATCTCCCTCCATCACTGACACGGACTTCACTTCATCCGTATAACCAAACACACCTGCAGAAGAGAGACCGTTTTAGAGATTTAAGCTGAACAAATTCAACTGAGATCACTGATTCTTGTTTAAGGATTAATATTGACTAAATTTATGGTGCTTTTGTCATTTCTTCTCTATTCAGCCTTATAGTATGAAGAAGAGTGGTGTGTGGATATCAAATCTTCACAGGTTCAGGCCACATTTCAAGTCCCGCAGGATATTTTGTGAAAACAGGAACAACAAAATGAAAAGTGGCCATAAGAAAAAGTGAGTTGCAGTTAAGATCACTGAATATTGAGTTAGTGAATATTGGACAGACAAACATCAGCACAAGCATTTCTTATTTATTTAAAGGTGCCATAGAATGCATTGATACAATCTTTTAAATTATCTGATGTCCCCAGAGTGTGTATGTGAAGTTTTATCTCAAAATACCCCACAGATATTTTTTTTTTTATAGCTTGTTGAAATTGCCACTTTTAGGGCATGAGCCAAAATGCGCAGTTTTTTTGTGTTAGTCCCCTTTAAATGAAAATGAGCTGGTGCTCCCGCCTCCCTTTTCAGAAGAGTGCTGAGCTTCAAGAGGTCATGCTCCAGCATACCGGTGTTACGGTTTAACTGGTGGTGACCGTGTTACTGACCTCACATTGCTTCAAATGCAATGTTTAACTACCACATTCCTATTTACGTTCTGGTAGCACGTGAAGGCAGCATTAGTGAAAACAGGCAGAGACAATGGTAGCTTTAGCAACATTAGCCTTACAGAGAGCCAAGAAGCTGTTTTGGAAAACAAAATATGACGCTTGATGCTGGACGTTTGCGCATGAAGCGTTGGTATCAATCCCTCTTTCAGAAGCAACCTTTGCACAACACCAGCGCTGAACTGACCCTCGTTTGTGAGGCAGTCCAGAGTAAGATGTTAGCACAAACATATAGGACTTTTCAGTTTTTTCCGGGACATTTCCTTCAAAAATTAAATTTAACCACCGTGTTCTCAGCGGTCATTAAGGCCTTTCGCACCGCTTTAGTTCCAGAACTAAATGGACAGTACTAAAGTACTGGGACGATTTTGCGAGAACTATTTCCCAGTACCATTTAAAGGGTTGCATTCGCACCGAGAGTGTGTACTAAGCAGTGACGTAAGCCGGTCGACAGCGTCGTCATTTGTGCGCGGCGTTCAACAACAGAAACAAAGAAGAACAACATTAACAACAGGAGGATGGAAAATCATGGGGGGTGAGGGTGTTTTCATACGCGTTTGGCCAATCAGTGTCTACTTACGTCACGATTAGTACAAGTTGTGCTATTTAGACCCTGCTCCGGAGTAGGAGCTAATTTGGTTCTCGAAAAAGGCAGTCCGGTACTAAAATCACACTCAGTTCCGGCGGTGCGAACACGCCAAAAAGTGCGTAGTTACACAATTAGTTCTGGTACTATGAAAAGGATCCCGCGGTGTGAAAGGCCCTTATGTAGACTCCTATGTTCGTTGGTGCATCCCAACACACGACACTTTTAATGGCTCTTTGGCGCTGACATTGTACCTCCAGCAGCTACAGCAAGAAAACAGTAATGGCGGACCGCTGCTTCTCACCAAGCGGCAACCTCCCGCTCTCTCTCGTGAAGCCAACACGGAAGTGACTTAAACTGTAATTCATCAACTGGCTGCTAGAGACTGGCTGCAAAAGGGAGTCAATCCCATAGACCCCCCCCATGTTAAAATAGACTCCCCAACTTTACAGCAGAAAAAAAACATGTTTACAGCTTGTTCAAATAATTATTTTGGTCTATATAGCTAATTTTGCCCTTCATGACAACTGTGAGGGGCGTGAATTTTTTTATAACTCATCCGTTTAAATTATATTAAGCCTTAAAGTTCTGCATAATTAAGGGGGTGGTCACTTGAGTGACAGGTGGATTGCCCGCTGCTGACACTGCCGTCGAGCTAGGTGGGCGTGGCTTCAGCAACCAGCTCCCGCCCTTTTGCCCATTTTCGATTATCCGGGAGTGACGCGCTGCAAAGATGGCGACGGCCGCCTCCGCCCACTTTGGGCTTCAAAAAGGCTCTTCGGAACTCTACAGTCTATGCTTCTCACTCAGGGCTGTGTATATGCTAATAGGGCAGAGAGCGTCACTAATGAAATGGACTTTCCCCGACTATGACGTCATAGTAGTGCGAATTCTGGAACTCTGGCCACACAACTGTGTTAAAACACCTTATAAAAGTGATTTTTTGCATTCTATGGCACCTTTAAGCTCCATAAAACAGATCAAAACATTACTTCAGAAATTGAATATATATAATTTTTAGATAGTCTCGAAAACCCATTTAAATCTACTCACCATCCACGAGTAACGTAACAAAAAATAAAACAAACGTCTTCATATTTCTGTACAAGATCAGTAAAAGGTGTCCATTGTAGCTGTTAAACCGTTCCGTTGAGTCTCAAAGCGTTCGATCAGTTTCTAAACGAGCTAAACCGCAGGGAAACTTCAGCTCAGATCGCGTTTACACGAGTGAAACACGAAATGTTCTTGGAAAAGCAGTAGGCTAAATCCGATCAACATAAGGAAGTAAATACATTGAACCTTTAAAGTGGGATCTGTCATGGAGAACATATCTGATCTGCAGCGCCAGAAAATCCCTCACCGGACTTGTGCAATATTCAGTTCCTGTGGAAAACTACTACTACTTCTTCTCTCGAGTTTTTTGGCGGATTGGCAAACCACGTTAAAGGTGCATGTCCGCCATCTACCTGTGCTTCCTTCCCAACAATCCAGCCAAAACTTACAAATTCTTTATATCCATACTCCCAACATTCTCTTAAAATATTCTTGACTGGGTGACTTTCGGAGTGAAACTTAATGCTAGTCCAGTATGTCATCATCAGCTGAAGTCTGCGTAACTCGTTGCTGCCGACCCGAACTGCCTGAGGTCTTCCAGTCAGGAAGTCCAACAGCCAGTTGCACAGTGAAGTGTTGAGCCCCAGCTGGACCAATTTGTGAATGAGCTGTTGAGGGATGATTGTGTTGAATGCTGAACTGAAGAAAGGTGGATACTATTGTCTCCACTAATTCGTTAATGCATACTAACCTTCCCCAATCAAGCATATCCTCAACAATCGTCCCATTCATATCATTTTTGTTACTCCCCCACAACGTTAAAGCTATGGGCGTTAAAATCACCACACCAAATCACTTTATTCCCTATATTCCCACCAATATTTTCCAACACATTTAAACTCAACTTCTCGCATGGATTGTAGAAATTAATTACTTTATAACTTTGTATCCCTTCCCATACTTCCACCACTACTACCTCTTGCTCCACATCTCTTACAATATTTCTAAACCCAATACCTTGTTTAATGAAAGTAGCTACCCCACCTCCATTCCCTTGTTTCCTATCTTTCCGAATTATTGTATATCCTTGTAATGTAAAATTCAACTGTGGCTTAAGCCAAGTTTCTTGTATACATATTATATCTGGGCTGCTTTCTTTCTTGGATATATATTCTTTAAATTCTTGACCATTTGCAATAAGACTTCTAGCATTCCACTGTAAAATTATAAATACCATTAAGAGCCACCACATCCTGATTGTGAGCTTGTTACATATACTTTTAGATTTTCATTTATCATGTCTACAGAAATACCCTTTATCTCCAAATACTTTTCAGCTGCTTTGATTATCATCTTGATTCTTTCTGTCCGGCTATCAGTTTGAGCAGAACAGTTGACAACTTCCGCCATAAACGACACAAATTACACTTTGTCTGTGATCTTTGATATCTCTTTCTTTTCATCCTGTTTGCTTTTCATTTTTTGTTCAGGTAATGATACCCTACTACTCCCTTCTTCATTCTTTTTTCCAACTTTCTTTAGCGCTTCAGAATACGATATCCCTTCCTCGACTCTGACCGTCTGAACTTGCGCCGCCTGCTTCCTCACCTTACATCCTCCGTATCCCTCACTATGCTCTCCTCCGCAATTACAGCATTTGGGACTCATTTCTTGCCCACATTGACGACACTTATAATATCTCAGAGGAGGAGGAATATATGGCCTGACCATATAACTTACAAATCCTAAGAAGACTCTGCTAGGTAGCTTATTTTCATCAAAGTGAATCATGACTGAGAGACTGTCAATTTTTTAATTGTTTCTAGTACACTTCAATCGTTTCACGTCGAACACTGTCGCTCCAGTTAAATTTTTCTTAATCGTTTCAACTTGAACATCAGGAGATACTCCTGATATTACTCCTTTAACCCGTCTTTTGTCTTCTGGAATTGAACAAATATATTTTTTGTCCTAGAACCGATTTTATTCCTAAAGCCACTTTTTGCTGTCTGTTATCATTACAAAACAACAAAAGTCTACCTTCTCTTAAAGTCTTAACACTTAGTTTATGATCGCATTGCTGAACTAGCGTCAATTCATTTTACCCTAACTGGGCAACTCGACCGAGCGGTCAAGCACATTTTCTGAGGTAACACAGAGATTAATTTTATCACCATGCTTCTGCCATTCAACAAAATATAGTGTTAGGAGGTCTAGAACATGAAATCAGATGTATAAAAATCTTACCTCAACTTTCAGCGTCACTAGCGGCAAGGGTTTGAAGAGAGCGCCACAGCAATACACTTCCGGTTTTGTTTCGGCTCCTCAGCATCAAATATATCCTTGCAGCATAGCCACCCAGTGGATACAATTGAAATTACACCTTCTATTAAATGAGGGGTATAAAGACAAACAGCCAAAACTGCAGTTTGGCGAGTTTTAATTACAGAAATGTGATCGCGAAAAAAGGTCAACCGTGCGGTTACAATGCACGTTTTAATTGTTGTTTGAATAGTTTGATTAGCCTATAGTTAGGCTACTGGTGACTATTACTGCAGTGTGTTCACAACAATGCTTGAAACAAATATATATGTTACCTAATAAATATTTATTTATTTATTCAGAAAACATAATACAAACAACATCAGGGAAAACCTTTGACAACATTTACATTTACACTTACATCAACAACAAGATAAACCTGGGTTTACGCTCACATGAAGAGAAAAGCATCATAATAAAGTTAACGTGTCTTTAAACGCATCATCATAAAACATAAAAAAAAAAAAACTTTTTTTGTTTTTTATAAATCTAAGAGATGAAATTAGAGTTGAATTCAGCAAAGAAAAGACACAAAGAGGACTTGCACCATTTTTGCTTATGGATAAAGAATTTTGCATACAAAATAAATAAATTAACAACATATTCAAAAGAAACGTGTTTTGGGTTTCCATAATAACAAATAATATCTTTGAAGGCAAAATGGTACACCTCATTCACAGTGCCAAAAATATAAAAACTTAAATCAACCCAAAATGTGTTCGTAATGCTACAATAAAAAAATAAATGGGCAGCTGTTTCATATACACTCTTAAAAATAAAGGTGCTTCACGATGCCATAGAAGAACCTTTTTGTCTAAATGGTTCCATAAAGAACCTTTAACATCTGAAGAACCTTTCTGTTTCACAAAAGCTTCTTTGTGGCGAAATAAGGTTCTTCAGATTACAAAAAGGTAAGAAAGAGATGGTTCTTTAAAGAACCTTTGACCGAATGGTTCTTTGTGGAACCAAAAATGGTTCTTCTATGGCATCGCTGTGAAGAACCTTTTGAAGCACCGTTATTTTTAAGAGTGTATAAGACCACAGAATGAACAATTCTCATCAATGTCAGAATATTTAGAAATGGAAGAGTTAACGGGATAGATTTTGTGAAGGATTTTATATTGGACTTCCTTAACCTTGTTAGATATACAAAACTTTCCAATTTATATCAGTTATAAACGAATTCCAATAGAATTGACCTCTTGGAGTAATCTTTCTTTTTCCTTGAAAAAGCTTTGTCTATTTACTTCTTATCTAAAAAGTTAATGCCACCCAAAAACAAAACAGGATACACAACATTACCCTTACTATACATTAAGTGATTTCTAACTAATTGAATTAAACCTGTCGGTATAGCTTTTATTCATGTATTGTATTCTTTTGGTGGAACAGGGAAGCCATGGTGCAATTGCCCATAAGTTAAAATATTGCCAACATCATCTAACACCGATAGAATACAATTAAGATCGTTGTTAAACCATTTAGAGAAAAAAGGAACTTATTTCTGACAGTTATATCAGCATTGTTCCAGAGGAAAATTTTGTATGGAGAAAAACTATGGACAAAACACAATTTCCAAGAAAGAAGACATTGTTGATGAAAATTAGATAAGACAATGGGTAACTTGCTGGGTGAAAAATTGCATTTCAATAAGAAGGACAGGCCACCAAGTTTCTTAAATATATTATTTGGAATGAAAAACCATAATGACGTCGGATTTGCAAGGCATCTCTTTAGCCAGTTTATTTTAAAGGTGTTTATGGTGTCCGCGAAATCTAAAAAATCAAGGCCACCCTCACCTCTACATTTAGAAAGAATTTCTTTCTTTAATTTGTGGGGCCCATTTTTCCAGATGAAATCCAAAAATAATCTATTAACCTCCTTTATAGTCTTGTCATTAATATATAGGGAAAGGGCAGGACTCTACCAAACAACGAAAGATCTCTCTGAAGCCAAATGTTAAAGATGTTTTTAGTATTTATCAGTTTCTCATAAAAATGTAAAGGATGCCTGGTTATTGGGTTTTTAGTAATATGAACACCCAAATATTTTACACAGTTTTTAACTGGGATATTTTCTAAAGATGTGCTATCCATGTCATGAATTGGAATAATTTTGCATTTTGAAATATTTATTTTTAGACTAGAGGCACACGAAAATTGTTCAACTAACTGCAAAGCTTTAGGCAACTGCCTTTTATCCTCCAAAAACAATGTGGTGTCATGAGCTACACTCTAAAAAATGCTGGGTTAAATACAACCCAGTGCTGGGTAAAATAGGGACAAACCCAGCAATTGGGCTTGTTTTGACCCAGCGGTTGGGTTACTACCCAGAAGGTTGGGTTAAACATTTAACCCAACCGCTGGGTTAAAACAGCCCAATTGCTGGGTTTTTAGAGTGTAGCTGCACAATTTTAACCTCCTTGTCAAAAATAGAGATTCCTTTCAAATTTTCATTGTGGTTAATGTTCAGGCAAAGTAACTCTGTGACTAAAAGAAATAAAAACGGGGAGATCGGACAGCCCTGCCTAACTCCACGATAGATGTGAAATCGCTTAGAAGTGTCAAAATTTACAATCACAGAACTATTAAACAAGGCTATAGTATCATTAAACGATTTACCAAATCCAACCATCTCTAAAGTTCGGAAAATAAATTGGTGTACAATCAAAAGCTTTATAGAAATCAAGAAAGAGAATAAGGCCATCCGACTGAATCAAACTAGAATAATCCAATAAATCCAAAACTAACCTTATGTTGTTAGAGATATGACGATCCGTCATAAATCTAGATTGAGATTCTGAGATAATATAATCCAGACCAATTCTTAATCTGTTGGCATAAACAGAGGCTAATATTTTATAATCTATTGTTAAAAGGGTAATCGGACGCAAATTGTCAATTGATAGAAGATCCTTTTCTGGCTTCGGTATAAGAGAGATAACATCCTGCTTCATAGTAGCTGTCATATCTCCCTGACTAAGTCATTCTT